TATATATCTATATATATAATGTTACACACGCACATACATAACTCCCACCAGAATAAGACAATCTCCCATATAAACTGCTACTTCCCGTTTCCCCCCTTAATGTTTTTAATTGTTTTGTTTTTTCTGTAAAAAAATTTGTTTAATTTTAATGGCATTGTGTAAGACAGCCACCTCTTTGAAGTGGCCAATTACCACTTTGATAATTGGTGGCCGTTTTAGTAGACAATTTCGACTGTGTATATCTATAAAATATAATATTCGTCACCCATCAGGATTTTAAAAAATCCCAGAGTAATAATATTATGATCTATTCACAGATCATATTTGGCGCTCATATGACCTTATGCAGTTGCGAGCGCCGTAAAACCCTCTACTATTAAAAACCCCCCCATCTCAGATCATATTATGTTCATGTTTTAACTAGAGAAACTAACAAACAAACAAACAAGCTAGCGAACAAACAAACAAACAAACAAACAAACAAATAAGCTGTTTTGTCACCCTCTCTGTTCCAGGTATTCTTATAGCAGGATTTTCCACCTTCATGCCCAAGTTTATAGAGTACCAGTTTGGGGTAACAGCAGGGAAGGCCGCCTTGTTTGTCGGTGAGTCTGTGTGTTTGTCTGCAGTTAGAAATGTAAGGTCATGGGTTTGAATCTTGTTGTTCGCAGTTAGAAATGTAAGGTCGTGGGTTCAAATCTTGTTGTCTGCTTGTAGAAATGTAAGGTCATGGGTTTGAATCTTGTTGTCTGCTGGTAGAAATGTAAGGTTGTGGGTTCGAATCTTGTTGTCTGCTTGTAGAAATGTAAGGTTGTGGGTTTGAATCTTGTTGTCTGCTGGTAGAAATGTAAGGTCGTGGGTTTGAATCTTGTTGTCTGCTTGTAGAAATGTAAGGTCGTGGGTTTGAATCTTGTTGTCTGCTGGTAGAAATGTAAGGTTGTGGGTTCGAATCTTGTTGTCTGCAGGTAGAAATGTAAGGTCGTAGGTTCGAATCTTGTTTGTAGGTGAGTCTGTGTGTTGTCCACAGGTAGAAATGTACGGTCATGGGTTCGAATCCGGTTAGGGAGATAACGTTGTGTCCTTGAGAAAGGTCTTTTACTCAAGTTTTCCTTATATTTCACTCAGGTGGGAATGAGTAGGCAGCTATAGACAGCAAAAGATCTTGTCAGTATGTTTGTGTTTTAGCGCCTATAAGTGGCAGCTTGTACTGTATACTTCACCAGAATTTGAGATTGTTTCAGAATGCTCTCAGGTCAGCTGGGGTAATAATGATAATAATATTATTGTTATTATAGATTGTAGAGCGCATAGAGCTGGCTGTTGAGCGGGAATTTGGGCTACACGCATGCTATCTATTATTATTATTACTATTATTGTTATCATTATTATTATTATTATTACTATTATTA